ATAGAGGGGAAGTATCACCTCTTTGGATCTATTCGTCATGCATCTGCTGATGCATGATAAAGTGCCATTAGTTTTCCTGATGGCTTCGTCACACTGCCGACTCATGTTCATCTTGGAGTCCACTAGGACTCCAAGATCCCTTTCCGCTTCCGTGCCACCCAGCAGGTCATTCCCTAGGCAGTAGGTATGCTGGACATTTTTCTTCCCTAGGTGCAGCACTTTGCATTTCTCCTTGTTGAATTGCATTCTGTTGTTTTCTGCCCACTTGTCCAACCTATCCAGGTCTGCTTGCAGCTGTTCCCTGCCCTCCGGCATGTCCACTTCTCCCCACAGTTTTGTGTCATCCGCAAACTTGGACAGAGTACACTTCACTCCCTCTTCCAAGTCGCTGATGAAGACATTAAAGAGTATCGGTCCAAGGACCGAGCCCTGCGGGACCCCACTGCCCACTCCCTTCCAGGTCGAAACCAACCCATCCACCACAACTCTCTGGGTGCAACCCTCTAGCCAATTCACCACCCACCGGACTGTGTAGTCATCCAAGTCACAGCCTCTTAACTTGTTCACCAGTATGGGGTGGGATACCGTATCGAAGGCCTTCCTGAAGTCTAAGTATACAACATCCACCCCTACTCCTGTGTCCAGGCGTTTCGTAACCTGATCATAAAAAGAGACTAGATTAGTCAGGCATGATCTGCCTGCTACGAACCCGTGCTGGTTTCCCCTCAGCATAATTTGTCCTGCCTATGAGAAGGCTAGACCTGTTTGGCATTCATCCATCAGTTTACACCTTTTCCTGAGAAATCAACTTCAATTAATAACCTTAAAATAGTATAAAACTCACCACATATCAACTGGTTTTCCTTCAGGTTACGGAATGCCAGTCCTTGTAAAGTACTGGGGTAAACACAAACTGTTTCCTCTGCAATTCGAACGGAAGCATTTCTAGCCCACTGCAAGACCCATTTTAGATTACAATCACAAATAAGTGAATCAGTGTGGAAATGTCTAGGAAGAAAAGAAAAGAATTATTGTGGGCACAGAATGTACTTTTGATAAATTAACTTATGCAGCAAAAGTTAGATCTATGGTGTGTAGCTAATCATGAAGACATGTATCATGTGACAATTAAACAGTATACATTCTCCTGTGGTATATGGAGTCCAACACTATGCTAATTGTATTGTCAATTATAGTTCAACACTTTCAATGAGAACTAGATCTTCATTTGTTTATATTCTAGACATACATTATTACAGTGACATAATTTACCCACTATATTCTAGTTAATTATGCTTCAGCATTTCCATTATACTGTAAATCCCTGGTTTAGAAGTCGTTCTTAGAACTTCATTCAATTTGGCTAAGATAAGTAGCAGGTTAGGGTCATTTTATTTTATATAATTAGGTATATTCACAAAAAGAGTAAAGATAAACTGATTAATAAATGGAATACATTTTAAGTAATAAAAAATGGCACAAATAAACCCCTTCAAATTGACATGTTAACCCTACCATGCCTGTTTTAATTTCCTTCTTGATTGTTACAGATTTTTTGAATTAGAGATAAATAACATAATATGCAGTATATTACCAGCATAAGGATGTAACATTATCATAGATTTTTTCCATTTCTTTGCTTTTCACATGTAAAAAGACTAGGTAATGCCAAGGTACACCACAACTCCAAAACTGTACCAAATATAGCAACAAAAGTTTGTATATACAACTCAAAATCAAATGTATATAATAAGATATACTTACAAGGCTTTCAGAGATAACAATTCAGAAAAAAGTCCATACATAAGACTTGAAAAAATGTTCCCAGATAAATTCCTAGAAAACAAGCAAAAAAGTTATGTAAATAATGCAATGTAGTGGTTCTCAACCTTCTGGACTCAAGGTACCCCCTCATTAGACTCAAGGCATGTCTCTGAAAATGCCAGCTCTTAGTTGTCACTCATTTTTCTACTATGAAAAAATAACAAAGCAATTTTTCTGTTGCAAAGAACTCGATAAGATCACAACATGGCAGAATGTTTTTAATGCTCTGAATTCCTATTTAAAATCTCTGGGTTTATCTCCAAATCACATTTGCAAACCTAACCTCTAGGGTTGTGTGAAGCTTTGGTCCCTGATTCAATTCGGCGGAGATTCAGCCTGATTTGGTGACCAAATCTCTGAATCTGAATGAAATCAGAGGACCCTTTAATCTCTTTGAATCAAATTGGAACCCTTCAAATAGATTTAGGGAGATTTGGAAAGATTTGGAGATTTGAACATAGATAAAGCTTTAAATGTTTTTTAATATATACCCCTAGGTAGCAGGTGGCTCATGAATGCTGCAATGCTGGAGCGGATGGAGTGTCCCACAGAAGCGTGGGGGGCTCCTCAGCATGCTTGGTAGCAGACCCAGAAGTGGACCAGAAGCACTTTTGGTCCACTTCTGGGTCCACTGAGGAGCATGCAGGCCCCCCCCCCCTTACCTCCTGGCTCGATGACTGGTGCCTCCTGGGTCTGGGGTGGGGGGCACCTGGGGTCCCCCCGCAACTGATCACCAAGCTGGGAAGGGCACGGGAGGGGCCAAGCATACTCCCTGGTGGACCTGGAAGTGGACCGGAAGCACATGGAGGGCCCCCCCTCCCCACACTCCTGTGGGATGCTCCACTGACCCTAGCACTGCAGCATTCACAAGCCGCGCTGGTACCTCAAAGTATGTAGAAAAAACTTTTAAAGCTGTGTCTATATCAGAATCATAGACTCTGTGAATCAGCATCAAATCTTCAGGTTTATATTCGGCCAAATCAAATCAGGGACAGTGATCCAAATCAACTAATCCAATCACTGTCCCTGATTCAGGCCAAATCTGAAAATGAATTGAATAGGACCCGCTTCACACACCCCTAATAACAATGCATGGTTCCCTGTGGCACCTTTGAAAGGATCTCAGCGCATCCCAGGGTACCATGACACCCTGGCTGAAAATCACTAATATAAAAGTAATGTAATGCAAATAAAGTTAAACTGCAACAAACAGAAAATAAAAATGAATATTAAGTTTTTATTATAGAACATCTTTCTGCTTTATTCTTTGGGAAGAATCAAGAATACGTACTTAAAGTTGCTTGTTGATGAAAACAATATACAAATACACATATTTATAGAATTGTTCTTTCTTTGCATCTTGCTTTCACATCAAACATATCACACAATGAAATATGTTCTAATAACCAACATTAGCTTTTCACATTCGATTTTAGTAATACTGTCAAAAAATTTAAATTGAAGTTGTTATATAATGATCTACACATATTGACAACTATGCTAAAGTTATGTTGTGTTCTTTTAAATCTACTCAGCACAACAATTCAAGATAAGGACACTTTATAAACAGTATTAAAATGTTTTAAAACTATAAAACAATAATGCCATGAATAATGTTAAGAAAGAAACTTTAAGGAACTAATTTGAATATTTTCAGTCTATGTAACTCCAACTGCCTCTCACTATTGCTTCTTGGATACTTTTAAAATGAATGCCTACAAATGTATACATTTTGGTTTGAAGAGTCCAATGGCTTTGTTGTTGTCCATATGTTACTAATATCAACAGCAAATGTTTAATGGTAAGTAATATTCTCTACTGCTATACTAACAAACAAAATTTGGCATAGTGTTTGAGATAAAGATTTCATATCACACGCAGCATGTTTTTGGATTACTGACGACTCTTCCCTTTTATCTATGAATGCCCGAAGCCTTCCGAACTTATATGACTGAATTCAAGATGGCTGCAAAATTTCATGACTCTCATGATTGTTCAGTTAAAAATGCGTTGTCACTAAAAATAGAACAAACTACATTGCCAGAGAAAAGATGAATACCTTTTTGATACAAAAAAATGTTGATCTGGTTACCAATTTTGTTTATCTTCTCTAACCAAACTAAAGAACTCATGTGGAAAGTAAACATTAAGTTCAGAAGCAATATGTCATCAATGAAGGCTTTGGCAAGATGCAGAAAAGTTCTGATCAAGGTTCATAAAATATGAAATAAATTCTCACTGAAATTATTCACTGTATTATGTACAGAGACATATTCCTTAATTCATACATGCCAGAAAATTGATGAATTATCATTTTCAAAAAGGGTATTGCTTTTATGAGAATTATTGAATATTCTTGAAATATAATGAATATTACATTAGAGGTGTGTATTCATGATAATTGTGCTATATAGCATGACCACTGATAGGCAACACAGTGGTTTGGATGATGACATGTGAAACAGTGGAGATATCTAAATTAGCACTAAAAAGAGGGGAGATGATGAAGCCCATTTCCACACTTTTAGAAATTTCAGTCAAATTCCATGAGGTATGAAGCACTCTGGTTTCCAGTCTAATGAAAATTCTGTCTATTTCATACAATAACTAGCCAAGCCTCCCATAATAAAATAATGAAAAAAATCCACATACACTTGGTGCACTCATTTGGACCAAGGACAGACATTGTGCAAGTGTCAAGAATCAAAAAGTATCAGTGTAAGGAAATAACACATGGGGTATTATCTCCCTACACCATGTCTAGAAGGGAGAAACAGTTACATATAAGCTCATGAAGTGGATTGTACTCTACAACTGAATCTGGATGCTAGAAAAAATGTGGCCTATACTGTGTTAACCTAAATAATCTTGAATGATCTTCCATTAAGAGTTTTCATTTTGTCTTACCTTTGCAACATTTTGTTCAGTGACTTTACTAAGTGTTAAAACTACTGAACTCCAACACAGTTCAAAAGGTGCAAAGTCAGCAAACCAATTTTTCACCTTCTGCTTCACTATAAATTGCTTTCAAGTTTCTGTATTAATATTGCTACTTATTAAACTTTGACCCAGTGTGCAATGACATACAAGTCAAAAAGTCATTCCGAAGCACAGGCGATGCTATGGGGGGGCATGTGCCCCCCCTGAAATGGGCCCTTGCCAGGCAGAGAGTGGGGAGCCCCAGCCAGTGCCCCCCCCACCCCAAGAAGCACTGGTGACACTTCTGGTTTTTCTAGTGGCACTTCCGGTTCGCCTCCAGTGCTTCCAGAGTCAGCGATCAGCCACTGGGGGACCCCCACCTCTCCCACACTGATGCCAGGAGGCACCAGTCACCCATGTTTCCAAGGTATTCTCAAGCCACTCCAAGAGGTATAACAATTAAAATTGAAAAGAAGAAAGATTAGACCTGTACAAACAATTGAGTTGACATAGAGTATGGTGTTGACTTCAGCTATGGATAGGCATTACATTTGTTACAGGATAAACATCTTTCCCCCAACACAAAAAGCTACATCATGGGTATTCAAGGGATTATTCTCAGAAAAAAACAGACACTTCCACATACAAAAAAAAAAAAAAGAAAAAAGAAAGAAAGAAAGCATTTCCAACCAGGAAGTTCTTTCTCCCAGCAAGTTTTCCACATCAACTTGAATAGGTGTATACTTCTTTTGGGGTCCCAAGGACCCCCTAGTATCCCACAGTCCATAGGGAGGGAGGGAGGGAGAGCACTGGCTCCTGATAGCTTCCTCAGTGGCAAGCAGTCAAGGAGCTCTGATGGGACACTGCTGACATCAGTGGAACAGTGCCAAGACTGTTTAATTGGTGGTGGTGATTCCCACCACCTGCACCACTGACCCTTGACTCAGGCATGGACGTGGGTAACCTCAGTCTGGGTAAGGGGCTGGGGACAGAGGCAGTGCAGCTCAACCCATCAAGGATGTCCCAGGACTAGTTAAGCCACAGGGAAAAGCTAGTTCAGGCTGATCACCTGGTTGGCAGGAACCATCCCCCACAGCCTGACCAATCCCATGGACACTCAGGACAGACTGAACAACAGGGAAATTCACCTGTGTTTTACACAGACTGGGGGGCAGTAGAAGCATAGCTCAACCTATCCTGGATGTGCCGTGAGGAAATTGCCCCCACCCCTTATATACACAGGTCTCATCCTAGTTTGTGCAAGGGGTGAGGGTTGAAAGGGTGAGGAGAGCAGTTCACTTTGCCTCTGGAACCCTAAAGGGTGAGGGGTGACCTTGACAGAAGCTGCTTTTAAGCAGCTGCCAGCTGCTCATTGATAGTGTGCCTCATTCTCCAATAGGACAGAGAGCAGGTTGGCAATCATCATATTCCCCAAGGGGCATACTCCCTAAGAAGCAGCCCTCTAGTACCCCTTGGCAGAAGAGCTCAGCTTTATGGCATCCCTGAAGCTCTTCAGCCAGAAGGCTGGAATTTCTGTATGTTCCCAAAACTGGCCTATTTTTCCAGACCTAAGAATTTCACAGAAACTGTTAGTGTTGGAACTGAATGCCTGTCCATAGCCACAGGTTTTTTTCTTCTTCTCCCCTTCCACTCCACTTAAAATATATATAAAGAGTGCTCCTAACGTTTGGCTGATTGTGACTGATGTTTGTAGACATCACAGAAGTGAGTCTTAAGGAAGGATTTAAGTGAAAGCAGGATTGTTTGAATAGAGAATATACTCAAGACATAACATCAGCACTGAAGTAGGGATAAAGAATATGACAATGAACAAAGAAAAGAGGCAAGAAAAAATGTATTTGCTGTTGAAAGAGGTTGAGGTGGAAGGGGGAAAATTGAGAGCAGAGATGCAGGTTCCCTTAGATATTTTCTTGATAACACTGAAGTGGAATCAATTGGATTCCCTACATCTTACTTGTTTTATACCTTATCTTTGGCTCTGCACAAAATAATTAGCTGCTTCAATGACATTAACAAAGTCACAAGAGAATTTATTACACAATATTATCATAAAGCTAACTACTGATGATGAT